AATATTTTAATATGTTATATTCCAAAATTATTGTGGTCTATTTTTGTTTAACTTTTCACAAAACGTTTATTAAATATTTTACGATTTAAATTGAATAGCTAAATATGCTTTAAAAAAATTGATTTGGAGAAGATTGAGCTATTTCTCGTTTAAAGTTTATAAACGAGTTTATAAAATATCTTTGATTTTAAATGATTGCTAAGTAACTAAGTATGCTGTTAAGAATATATAAATATAAAGGATTGATTTTTCTTTGATATTAGCTAATTAGCTGAATATGTTATATTTACTAACAATGATATATGAATATTTAAAAAGATTGATTTCCAAACTTTTTAACCTTTTTTGATAGATTATAATTAAATTTTCAAGCCTCCGACTTAGTTTATATTTTATTAAACATGCTAATAAGAATGTTTTATCTATGCAGAAAACAAGATTATCATACATAAAGTATTTATATTTGCTTTTAGCAAATAATCTTTACATTTTCTACTCGTTTAAAACAGGATTTAGATTCATTCAAGTTGAGAATTATTCAGAATTTTCCCTTCAATCAATGCTATGGCAATTAAAATATATAAAACTTAATTAAATATGTGCAACATTTTTTTAAATGCAAATCGTTAGAGCATTTAAATTAGGTAAATAAATCAGATTCTGTCACTTTTTCCAAGCTCGCGGTTTCCCATCAGATATTTCTCTTAATTATTATATGATCGTAACTATATGAATAAACTTGATATTCGTTTAAAGTCACACACAAATTCTTAGCGAGTATATAGGTTTGCTATATTTATGATATATGACATATGCTCACCGTCCAAATCAACGCTCTTCTATAGCCTGCTTCGTAGTCTCTAGAAAAATGTTCCAACACCAAATGAATTTCACTCCTAAATCCTACATGTCTTAATAGCAGCTAATTAGCTTAACAAATAAATTATACAGAAGCTTAACCGACTTTATATATAGAGTTTTGTAGACCATAATCTTAGCATTGATACGCATAAACACGCTAAACTTTGTGAGATATAGCCATAAATGTAGAGCCTTCAAGATTGCCGATAAAACGAGAAAGAGCTTTTGTATTAGCAAAATATGTACTGGCGACTCTTTCTATCTAATCTTGAAATAATTAACTATGAGCGTCACAAGTGGAATGAGAAAATGTTTAGCTATCATGTGAGCATTGTTTACCAAAATGGATCCAATCTTATCTGAATTTGAACTCGCACTCGTCCCGCTGAGAGCCAAAGCTACGAAGTGGTTCTCGCGCTCATGCCGCTTGCCATCCGAAACAATCTCAAGTGCAACAATTATTTGAGTGCGAATGTACTCGAAGTTTTTCCCTATGCACAATTACAATTGTTTTTTCAACGCCTCGCCATATCGCAATGATAGGCAACCGCAATTTATCGCGACCATTAATTAAACTTAGGTGGGAACGTTTGAAAGTCGCGTACATGCGCACTTGCCAGCTTATTTACCATATATATAAGTATGTATCGAATAAGCAATATACATACATACATACATACATATATATTTTCATTCTTACTCTTGTTTCTTTTTAGATATTTCACTTGCGCGACATACGCTGGGAGAAGTCGCAGTTTCTGTCGAAGAGCTTCCTAGGCTTTGTCGCCTTCAACTTCTTTCTGTACAGCCTATTTGGCATTGAGGTATTCAGTTCGCTGATAAATTCGGAACGTCGCGATTATGCGCACATCTTCAATGGCTGTTATGCTGTGCTCCTGCTGATTGTGGTTATCTTCTTTCTGATTTACGGAGTGGAGGTGTTCTTTAAGTTACGTGGCGGTTTTGTCTACGACCAGACGGGCAAAATACTTGGACCCAGCGAGGCAATTGTGAATGCCTCGCAGCTCCATCAGTCGCGTCTCGGGCTGCTCAGCCAGGCCATAATGCTGATTGTGATTGTTGGATTTCTTACCTCCGAAACGCTAGGTGACTTATGGAAGGGCAAGTAAGTAGTGCGATTTCAATATGAAAGTGATCATAACTCTAGTGATCTGTTCGTCTTCTGGTGTATAGAGTGCCCGTGAATTCGCGAAACTGGTATGATATCATCTTTCGTATTGCCGAAATAGGCGTCGCTTTGTGGTTTCCCTGCTGCCTGTGGAACTCTATGGCACCCGAACAGCTCTGGATACTGAATCCACGCAAGCTGCTGTCCCGTCAAATCGATCCATCGATACCCACGCTCGATGCCGACAGCAATAAATTGTCGCCCGAAGAGGGGCAGACGTTCCTGAGCAAAAAGGACTGCTGGATATGCTATGACAGCGATAAACCGGAACCGCTCATTCAGCCCTGCCGCTGCACTGGCGATGTCAGCTCTGTGCACCACGAGTGCCTCAAACGTTGGCTAGTCGAGAGTTGTGGCATCAACAACGAGGCGCAGCTGGCCTGCAAGGTTTGCTCACATCCCTACGAAATCGAGAAATCGAAAAAGTAAGTAGACTCAACTGGAGCAATTCACGTGTTCCATTTCTAACATAACTCCATCCTGCAGACTCGAGTGGGACAAGGGATTTACCATACAGCATTGGATGAAGACCGTCATATTGATCACGCTAATGTGTGTGACGGGTGCCACAGCCTGGGCCATCATTCAAATGTATGTGGATCCGCTGGTGCGTGTCCTCACCGTTGGCGTCGCTGTGCTCATTGGCTATGTGTGCGTCAAGTGTCTTGGCGAGAATACGGTGGTGGCCTACCAACGTGCCAAGGTTAGCTCCATCAACATTGTGACTAGCTCCGAAATGGAGAAACTGCATACCATATGCGAGGATGTCAGTTCAGCTAGCACCTCAGCGGCGGCAGCTGCATCGCAGGCCGCCTCCTAAAACGCAAGTCGGCAGTTGAAGTCTATGCCATAAGGAAACATCATACCCATACACAAATGCCAATGCAAATGCAAACACGGCGTATACATATATACACATATATATATACGCATTTAAATGCGTATATATACACAGTCAGACGATAGACACGACACGAACGATATAGTTTATTAGGTTTAGCGCCCTTTTTGCACACATTTTTGCTCAAGGCCCCCTCCAGAAAACAAAACTCTTCCCCGCAAACTGTGTACATAGGTTTTAAGTCATTTAGTATGTAGGATAATGTTTCGAAACAAAAATCAAAAAGCAAAAAAAAAAAAAATCGAGTCAATTTTGTCACTCAAAATAACACGCATTATTCCAAACGGTACATGTATTGAAACAAAACAAAACAACTGAAAAATCAAGCCAAATATTATATAATCTGTGTACCACATACATAAGCCAGTATCAATTATCTTACACAAATTACGGAGAACGTTTTGAGATTATGATTACGATAGCATACACAGACACACACATATACATACATACGTTGCCAAGTAGTTGAAGAAGTTTTTCAATTGATAAAGAGAAAAATTTTAAATGTGTAGAGTTAACAAAGGCACCAGTCAATGTCAGTCTAGCTGAGCATGTTTGTAGTTTGTAGCATATATATTTACATATACATACATATATATATATATAGAAACACGTTAAGATCTTAAATTGTGAGCGTATGCAACGCATGCGTCTCTCCATACAGCACAGCTAAGTTTATTTGGCGAATATTAATTTAGGATCACACACACAAACAAAAGCACACATACCTATTATACATGTATATTTGTAACTTTTTTTCGTGTAATTTGTATTCAATGCGAATACAGTTCGCAGTACACCTTAAGCCTATACTTAACGAACCTAATTTATGAACAGTTTATTCAATTATTTATATAAAAACCGCGCCCACATTTCAATTATGTTTATGAAAGCAATTTTTTTTTTTTTTTTTGCTATTCAAACATAGTTTCCACAAATTCAACACAACATATTTACATATTAAGCTAATATACATTTTTGTGATAAACCAGTTAAAATATAAATTAAAACATTTATATCAAATAAAATGTATATTCTTAATTGATGGGGGAGCATGAATATTGAATTCTCCAAACGGGTAAATGTAAGGCTGCAGCTAACTAACAGACTGCAAATAAAGCTGTTAAGCTACAGCTACAACTCATGTAAGTAGCAGACACCTAGTGCAAGGCTGTTAGTCTGCAGTTGCAGGACATGCCCATAACACGCTGTAAGGTGAACTGTTAATCTGATGCTGCAGCTGCAACTGAAATAACATTTTATGTTAAATGCAAACTTTGACTCGAATAAACAGTGTTAAAGCACAGCTTCACTGTGAATTTTTGATAGCTGTTAAATTGCAGGTATTATTGGGAGTATAGCCCTTCATTGAAATTGAGTCAATCCGATTAAACTATATGTGGTTGTTTGCCTATATATTTATTCCTATGTCTGTCTGTCTCTCTGTCTGTCAACCTGACTACAGAAAATAATTTAATTTAGCTATGTATATATATATATATTCATTTGGTATTTATATTTGAGTAAAACGAAGCTAGAATGCTTGCAGCAGCAGAGAGAGTTCCCAATAGGAGGAAATACTTAGCAGAAAACACAAGAAAAACTTAAAGGAAAACAAACCTGAAGGACCTAGAGGAAACACTTAAAATAAATAATTTAGATGGATCATAAGAAATACAGGAAAACCTGAGAGAAAATGCATAGAGGATGAGGAAACACTTAAAGCAAAAACTTAGAAGAAATGGAAATATCAAATCAGGTAAATACAAGTTCAGCAAATAAATCCATAACTGTTTACATATTGGGTCAAATTATGTTTGATGGTATTATAACCAAAAAAAACAAGGTTACTTTAAAAGATTTGTTACTCTTCTAGCTCGCTATTCCAATTCAAGTTATTTCGATCGTTTCTCGATGCCTGGAAATATATGCCTTTTGCTGATACTCGGACACACCAGATAGTTGCCTATATTCCAATCTATGTATATCCAATTAAAAAACTCTTTTGTTGTCTTTAAGTCTAGTGTTATACATTTATTTTACACGGTTTACCTAGAAAATGTATAATTATTATATTGTGTATTTGCTTAGATAATATGCATGATTAAAGACAAGTCGAGCTTTAATATAATTTCATCTATTGTATACAATCGTAATGTACTGTTTATCTAAATACATTTCAAGATCGACAACGTTTAGATTTCATTAATATTATTAATATAAAGAGGAAAATAAGTAATCTGAACTAAAATTCACACAGTCCTTTCAACCTGGCACACGCAATTTAATGCCAAAAATTCAATTTAAAGATCACATTACTAGCTAATATTTTATATATAGGATATATTTATATATGCTAAATCAACTAAAATCTAGACGCTAAATATCATTTATTTTGTTGATTGCTAATAACTATATGAATTTAGTCACGAATTATAACTTGGCCATAATTGGCGTAATTTGGAGCGACTGATGTTGCGTTTGTTTTTGTTTTTGTYAGTATGCTAAGCCGTCTTATCAACTACGTGAAATAATTCAACTAATGGGAGGCGAGAGTCCAGGGTCGGCTAATGATGAGTGCTTGTGCCTATAAACTGTAGATATATATATGTATATGGTAGATGTTGCTAGATGAATTGCAGAAGTCTTGGGGGCAGTGTAGCATGTGCTCATTGAACGACAGCCGAGCGCTTATCACGATTCTTGCCACGCGTTATGGAACGTGCCTTGAAAGCGGCAGCATTCACCAGATGCTGCAAGAGATAAAGAATTTATGTTATAGCAAACCAGAGCAAAGCCGATTTCTTTTCAGACTTACGCGCTCGAGCTTGGACTGCTTGACTTTGGCGTTGCCATTGATGCCCACATTGTTTGGTCGTGGGCCCAATTGGAAAATATCGCGTATGAATTCGTTCTCCTGCAGATGGGAGGTCATGCCGGGGCCCATAACGGCGCACAGGGCTGAGTACTGATGATGTATGGACCAGGCGTCCAAGGTGAGAGAATCATGTCCGAAGCGAATGCTGATCTCAGGCGAAATATCCTCCTGCAGAATAACAAATTGGAATTTTTAGTAAGCGTCGAGATAATTTTCAGTTGAGAAATGTTTAGATCTTAGAAAAATTCCCCCTAAAATTACTAAACCTTGTTTTACTTTTTCTTAGGGAACACTAAATTCGAAAATCAGAAAAAAAAAATATTTTAAAAAATTTGAAAATTGAAAAAAAAAGTAATTCTTTTATCAGGCCTTCAAGATGATGATCTCTACGTATCAGCATGACTATGTGCCACCAAATTCAAAGCGGTACGAGTTTATGAGCCACCTCAAGGCCAACGATGGTCTGGGTGGAGGAAAGATTGTGGAATGTGAATGCATAGCGGAGGACAAGATTAAGGCGCATCCGGATGCAGTCAAGAATTGTGCGGGTGTCGAGTGGACGGGCATAGCGCCAATGGGGCGACTGATCAATCCACGTTTGATACCCACGGAATTGCCGCAGGATCAAATCGATCAGATGGCAATGTCGCCGGAATCCGATTGCCTGAAACTGCAGCCGAATCGGTTCCTGAAAATCTTACGCAATGTCTACCCAGATTTGTACGAGCGCCTGAAGTTGATGCCCAAGGGAGAATTGGGCCGCAGACTGGAAACGAATCGCATGTACACGACCTATCAGATCGACTACTGCGACGTCAAGGAGTATCCCGAGGGCATCTACGAGAGCTTGAAGCCCAACGACGAGGTATCCAAGATCAAATCTGACAAGCTAATGGCGGATAAGGCGCCGTGCTCTGAGTTCCGTTCGGATGTGATGAAACAGTTAGAGCGCGAAAACGCCACCGGCTATGAGGTGAAGGCCGACGAATGTGAGCAGGCGTACAAGCCATTCCAGGCAACATTCTCGGACTCTGCGCAGTTCGTCAACTCCGGCAACAACTCGCATTGGAAGACGGCGTCCAGCACGTTCAGCAAGTCGCCCAACTTCTCAGAATACATGGACTCGATCAGTCGCAACGGCTGCATCATAATGCGCAACAAGCTGCACGATCACTCCAAGTGCTTGGCGAACCATTGCAGGCACGAGATTCGGTTCAACTGCACCGACATGAAGCCTTAAGCCTTGTTGTGTGTTGCGTTTCGTTGCTCCCAAGCTATCTCTACACTGTATCCTGTCATTTGTGCAAATCCCCAGTGTCCAAATAAACTGAAAACAAAAAAACAACTAAGTGATGTTATCATTACCTCCAGATAGCGCAGCACATCACGGAAGGTGGCACGCTGTGCCTTGCGATCGCGCTTGGCGCGATATTTGTGCGAATCGGTGGCCAGCTGCTTGACAGCGTCGCACAGCTCGCCGATGTCCTCCTCCAGGAAGTTCTCATCATGGGCACGACCCGACTCCAGAATCAATGCGATGGTCTCGCCAGCGGCCATGCGTACATCCAAATGTGGTGATTGCAATAGACCCAAGAACTTTTTGATAGACCTGCAACGGGCAATCGATTAGTCAGTGCTTCTTAACCATTAATTCTTCTCAATAGCTTACGGAAATTTGTGTTGTCCGGAGGTCATCAGGGAAACGAAATCGCCCGAGGGCACGAGAGTCAGCAGCAGACCCCAGGCGGACAGGGCCTCAGCATGAAGAGTTCCTGCCTCGGCAGTGACAGAGATGGGTGACTTGTCGTCGCCGCGCAAATAGCTGCCGGCAAAGATGGTCTCGAAGAACTGCATCAGCTGGATTAATGCACCGATATCCTCGCAGTCCAGGAAGTTGAGCAAACCAAGGGCGGCACAGCACTTGGCGCGTGCATCATAGTTAACCGATTTATCCTGCACGGTGGTCAGAAGGAACTGATTCATTGCCTTCGACATGCCCTCCTCGCCACCCAGTTGCAGCACTAGGAGTGGGGCCAAACGTGCGCCCCACACTTGCTCCTGACCCTTGCCGCGGCGCACACTCTTCTCCACAAAATCCATGAGTGTCATTTTGCGGTCCTCTACGAAGTCGGGCATATAACGATGCATCAGCAGCTCGCAGATGGCCTGCAGGGCCTGAATGCGGGTCTGGGCCGATTTCTCGGTAGCCTGTTCCAAAGCCTTTTCGAATTTCTCCTCGAAGCGCTCATTCGCCAGATCTTCGGCAGCCTCTGAAGAGGCGGCCTCCGAGACATGCGAATAAACGCTCACATTGTCAAAGGACTCGTCCTCTGAGTTCGAGTCGTTGATGCGGCCTAAAAAATAAATAAATGAGAGAGATGTTCATTAAAAAGTTCATCTGCTAGTTGGACATAAATTTTAATTAACATAACATAAATTTTGCAAGCAACCTAAACTGTTTGAATCGCATTGCTATAAGCTGTTAATGTTCTTTTACATAACATAAATTAGACCTATACAACCTATGTTAAAGTTTTAAGCAAAACTGTTAAGTAGCACGGTATTCGCTGTTAAACTTGTCTATTGCTGCTCAAACTGCTCACATATTTATTGCTTGTGAAATGAGTCAACCTAAAATACACAGCCACACATACAAACATATATATGTGTGTGGGTGTGCACACAAATTTCTACGATAATTTTCCGCCTGGTAGCGATAATTTTAGGCATGTGCATGTATGCATGTGTTATAAATAAAGTTGTATGTACATGTGTATCTATACAAATGAATATTATACGCGTAATTCGCAGAACAAAAGTAATTGAATGTCCATTGGTATTTCTTTGTTGTTTTTAGGGCGAGTGCCCTGTCACACGAGTGTGTGACCTTCATATGAAAATGTTGTGCAACAAGTTTTAGCATTTGTTGTTGCTCAACTTTCTATGAGCACACATACACATACATACATACATTTAAACTGTTTTCATTTACCAGCTGCCTATTGAATGGGGACAAGGTAGTTTCCGGCATTGAGTTTTCATTGACTCGCAGGTATTGTCGCAGGTATACACACAAACATATATATACCCATACTTATGTATATACATATGTTGACAGCATTGTTGCTTGTCTTGTAATCTCGGCAACAACTGAAAACAGCTGTTGGAAAAGCAAAACTTTGAGAGCCTGATACATTTAAGAAATTGCGAATATCTATTAAATTAGACCATTTGGTTATTATTTAGTTTAAAAGCATGTATTTTAGAAAATTAAAAATTGATCACTTTCTAAATCTCAATAAAGCCTTTTCCTTTTAAGATTATTTAATATTTATATTAAATAACATTTTTGAATACTATTTGGACTTTGTGTTTCTTTGTCTATTTCTTGATAAGCTGGCCTTCAACGTACACACTTAAATTGTGTGAGCATACTCTGACATTGTTACATAGCGTAAGGCATATCAAACATAGAAATGCACACGAAATTTAAAAATACAAAAACTATATATAGGTATGTTTAAATAACCTTCCCAGAACTCTACACAATATGTGATAAGAAACAACTCTACACATTTGCTCTTTTAAAAATTCCCCCGTTGGGTATTTCAATAGTGCAATATCTGACAACAGTTAATTCTTTTTTATTTGCTTATTCACCAGCTGAGCGCGTGCAAAGCTTTTTTGTTTTTGCCAGCACAGCAACAATATATATTTATTTCGTTGATTGCCAAACAGGTTGGAGACGAAAGCTTTTGAAGCCAACGAAATGTATGTATATTTCATGCTATTCAAACATGGCATGTGCACATGAGTAATGCCAGCCAGCCCCCAGAAAGTTGTGTACGAAAGGTCAACATACAAATTTTCTATTGGTAGCACCTGTAAAAAGTTTCTTAAGCTCACAATAAATTTCCCACCCTATCACAAGTATGACCCATGACAAGTCATTTGCTTTGTCTTTGTGTGACTCACCTTTGCCTGCTGCTTTCTTATTGCGTCGTGACATATTGATGCTTTTGTTGTTGCTGTTGCGTTGCTCGCTAGAACCACGAATTTTGTGTTTGGATTGGCTTTCGCTCTTCTTGACTACGATCGTTGTTGTTATTGTTGTTGCACGCACACACACGCAAGCACAATCCCCGTTTGACAATGTCCTTTTGAACGCGCGAGCGATTGAGTGAGAGAGAGTCTACACAAAAAGTCTACACACACGAGTTTGGCGGCAACTATTGGCGGTACTTGCACGTGCTTCTTGCTTTTATTGATTTTCTATACGTTGGGCGTTCAGGAATTTAGGTTAGAATTTTTGTTGGTGATTGGATGAGGCGAGAGTTCTTTTTTTATTTGCTTTGCTTAAATTGCAAGATTCTTAATCAAGATGCAGCTATGCAAAAGCTTTTATGTTTCCAATATTGTCTTTGTTGCTGCGCTTGCTGTTGCTGTTTGTTGCACAACACGCGTTTGGAAATGTTGATAACTTTTACTGAACTGAATGATGTTGACTTGAACGCGCGTTTTATATTTATACACTTGTGCTGCTGCTTTTGCTGCTTCTGATTATAAAAATGTTGGTCGTTGCTGTGTGATGACACAAATTTCATGTTTAATTGAAATTGAATTTTCTTTAGCGATTTCCTTGGCCTTGAGACTGCTACTGTGTCTGTGACGTCGACAGCGCCGCCTTTTCCGAGGGTTTTAATCGAGAGTTGTGAAATTGTTTGCTTCACAGTTTGTAGCTTCGTTTGCTATTGACTGTTGTTTTCAATATGCACGCAGGCACAGCTTTTTGTTTGATTAGTGTAGCTTTTGGGAAAAGCTCTACGTTGTCGATGAGTTGTTAAAATAATGCAAATAATTAAGCACTTTTCGTATTGCTGAAGTTGACGAAATTATAATGACACATTCGGATCAGTGTTGAGAACTGATTGAAGCTGGATATCGAAATTTATTTATCGAATTTATCAGATTGCACAACTTCGCAATTAGTGCACCTGCGCACACTGTGGCGAAATTAAAATGTACATCCGAATAATCAAAATTAAGCGCAATATTACAAAATAAAATTTTTGATATCTGCAATATTTTGTCTTGACTTTATTTTGATTTTATCGTAACTAAAAATAATTGTATTTAAAATAAAGCTTGTACACGAAATCAGGGTTGATATTTGTGAGTATCGAATCAGCTGTTTGACAAATAGAGCGCCAACTATAAATACAATTAAATTGTAAATAAACAATCAAGTGAACAAATTTTTTTTTATTATCAACTAATTCAATTTTAATACACATCAAAAATATTTCTTTATTATTTATACTGCTCACTATTTGAGCCTTAGGATATGCGTTATTATCGATAATTTAATAAAAAGATAATTTGGTTTTACTTTTGTGGCCAATTTATTTGCTGAAATTACGTTTTATCCTATGTAAATCAATTACTATCAATAAATAGATCATCTACATATATTTGTTAGACATGGCAAACTTATGTTTTAACATATTCTTCAAATTACGATCAACTTTCAGTCATTGGTTTTCAAAAACGTAGTTCAATTGAATCTATTGCAGGAGCACCCAGTATTTGGCATCGATATCGACAAATAACATTTCAATAAGTATCGGAGCTCTCTATAGATATCGATATGTGGTCCCACACACACAATCATTGGCCATAGTATGTTTATTTTTATTGCAAAACGCATTTAAAAACAAGTAGCAAACCGTCGGTTGCTGCTTTATTGTTCGCATAAACAAATCTCACTTCATGCTGATAAGTAGTTCATTATCAGAGATGCTCGTTTGCTACAAAAAAGTAAAATAACAACCAACGAAAGCAGCAATAATAAATATACTGCATTGAACTTCGACTCGAAGAGAACACGAACTTTGTCACTTCAACACACACACGCACATACATACGTATGCAGTCGAAAGCGTCAGTCGTCGATGTGGATGTGAATCAATAACCAAATTCCAGCAACAACAACAACAAAAACAACGACGACGACACCAATCTGATAGATATTTACAGCGTCAGTTTTGGGTGTCTGCACTTGCACAAGTTAATTAGGTAATTTGTAAGCTGCTTGCAACAGCATCAGCGCCATTCACCAGCGTGTCTAGAAAATGTTCAAAATACAAACAAAAATAGCTCGCTGATTGGCGAAGCGATTATCGCTGAACCTTAACCAACAATATCTGTATCTAATCTATAGTTTATGGGTGGCTCAATTACAATTTCTATATTGCAGCAATTTTAGTTGAGAGTTAACCATGGCCAGCATTGAGGAACGTTTCCAGGCCGCCGTTAATGTGATCAAAGGATTACCCAAAAATGGACCCTATCAGCCCAGCATGAGCATGATGCTCAAGTTCTATGGCCTGTTCAAGCAGGCATCGGAGGGCGATTGTTCACCCAAGAAGCCGGCCTTTTGGGATGTGGTGGGCCGCGCCAAATGGGACGCCTGGAATAGCAATCGGCACTTGACCAAGGAGCAGGCGATGCAGCGCTATGTGGAGAGTCTGCAGGAGATAATTGAGACGATGTCATTTACCGAGAATGTGCAGAACTTTGTTGGCAGCCTCGACGGCCTGACCAACATCAACCTGGATGAACTGGATCTGGTGTCGCCCGGCATGCGTGAGCTAGCCGAATCGCATCCCAATTCGCCATTCCATTCGCGCACAAACAGTCCGCAGCATGGCAACAGTGCAAATGGCATTGAAGTTGCAGCTGGGAACACGCCCCCAACTGCCGCGTCCACCGAGACCTTAACTAATGGCCACACAACGCCACTGACCAATGGCTTTACGAGCATGAAGGCAAGCAATGGCTACTCGCCGCTTGATTCGAGCAACAATAACAACTACACAAACAACAGCAGCGTGGCCATTGTGGAGCCATCCGACGATGAGTACGACGATCCCTATGAAACGATGCTGCCCCAAGAGCTAACCCAAGCCATTACGCACAATACGGATTTGCTGCGACAAATCCAGAGCACAGTGGCGAGCATGAACAGCGACATGGCTGCAGTGCAGCAGCGTGTGAACAGCATGGAGCAAACGTTGCTGGAGCTGCGCAATGCCCAGAAAGTGCAAGCGAAGAGCGGACGTCAGCAGCAGCAGCAGCCGGCCTGGTGGCCATTCAAGGATATTTCGCCAGTGTGGTTTGCAATGTTGGTGCTGTGGCCGTTCGTGGTGCGACGGTTGGCGCGAATGGTGGAGAGCAAACGCCGCTGACGGCGCATTAAACTAGCTTAATTGGTATGGTAGTTAAATTGTAAGTAGCAAAAATTATTACCTAGAGGTCTGCAAAGAGAATCACACTCGAGTTGAATTACATTGAATAGGAAACCAAGAAGGTGCACTCGAAAAACTCAACTGAATGAAAAGAATTGAATGAGTGAGTACGCGGCTAAACGAGCGCATAATATAAACAGTTCCGTCAAACGAAGTCAACATTCACTGCCTAATACGAAGATAGGAAGTGCTCTGGGCTTTGCGAAATTCTTCTTTTGTTTAGTAACTCGCACTTATTTAACTGACCGACTGAGCTCGCTCTCAAATTCATACTCACTCAATTCATTGTATGCCACTCACAACACATTCAATCCATTACGAATGCATTCAATGTTATGCTGAGAGCGTAGCCATGCAGACCTCATATAAAATATTTATACATTTACTGAACTCATTTAATAATTATATCCTTTCGCTTGCCTTGCAGATATTCACGGTTATGGGCACGAGCTTTGTGTGGCTTGATTTTTTTCTCGAATGCTTTGCACATCCTGTACAGAGTTGGCCTTGTATTTAGTTTCTTAAGATTTAACCAGTTGCAATATGTATATTTTATATATTATTATATGTGTTAGTTGCATGTAAGCTTATGTGTGGCACATTCCCATTCCACCCACCCACATCCAAACGCCAAGATCCCATCAATATTTTGTGTTAGTTTGTAAGCCAAATGTTTTCTTTTGTACATTTTGCCCAGGCTGGGCGCGCTTTTGCCTTGGCCCATAGAGTTGCCTCTTCGTTTTTTGTGCAGGGACTGCGGCAAATGGTTGTAAAATAATTGAAGCGAACAATTTGATTTGTTGTTTAATATAATTTTTGTAATAAAATCATGTAAAATGCTGATTATCACAATTCATAACTGTTCTTTGTGGGGAATGAGACGTTAGATCTGTGGCTGGGCTGTAATGCGCAAATAGCTCTTGCCGGATGGCACTTCGATGGTCTCAATGCCCTTGGGAAATAGCTTGGGCACATCCGCAGCCTGCACGGAGGGCAGCACCATGCACTGGCCGCCCTGCTTCCAATCGGCGGGCGTGGCCACGCTCTTTGTCTGAGTCAACTGCAGCGAGTCAACAACACGCAGAATTTCACTGCGAATTAAAATAGATCAATCAATCAAAGTTTACATTTTAGATTCCAATTGAAACCCACTCGAAGTTGCGACCCGTTGTAGCTGGATACAGAATGGAGAGACGGAGCTTCTTCTTGTTGTCAATGACGAAGACTGCGCGGCAGGTGAGCGGTATGCCCTCTGCACTGAGCTCATCCTTGTCCAGCATATTCAGCTTTACGGCTAATTCACGCTTATTATCCGCGATAATGGGATAATCAAAGCTGGACAACTCTACCCACAAATAAAAACATTTCATATTTTGCAGCTAATCAAATTCAACCCAAACTCACTGGCATAACTCTTAATGTCCTCAATCCAGGCATTATGCGATTCTGCTGTGTCACATGACAGCGCAATTGGCTTAACGCCTCGCTTCAGAAACTCCGGCATTAGCTGAGCAACGCGGGCCAGCTCCGTGGTACAAACGGGCGTGAAATCCGCCGGGTGCGAGAATAGGATGGCCCAGCTATCGGCCATCCAGTCATAGAAATCAATTCTGCCCACATTTGTTTGAGCCTCGAAATTGGGAAACTGGTCGCCAATATTTAGTGGTTTGTTCGACATTTTAAGAAATAGTGTAAGTAAGTAAGTAACTAAAACGAACGAAGAGCTTATTAAAAACGCAACTGCAGCTGTCCAACTCTCGATAGACAGGCTATCAAATTGAATAGTCAAGTAAACGCGCTTTTAAGCTATCGATAGGTTGTTCGTCTAGCTATCGTATCTATCATTGGAAGTCTAATCAACAAATAAAAGTGAACAAACAATTTTCAACAACAAACAATTTAAATACACATAACCAACACAATAAGCAACATTTCGATCTATCAAATTAAATAATTCAAACTATCGATACCACTGGTCGCATCTCTTGCGATTGGTAGTTATCGTGTCTATCATTGAAAGGCTTATCAACAGGGCAACAAAAATAAACATATTTTCACACAAGATATCTGCAATCATACCGAGCACGTCAAGCAACTTTCCTGATCTTAGCATCAGCGGACGCCAAATGAATCCTCCACCTCCGCCACCTCCTTCAGCTCCAAGCGCCTCAGAGCCGTTTCGAATAACAACAAATGCACCGCAAATGCTCGATGCAAACTTAACCCCCGGACGACGAAAGCTTCAGAAGTGGCTGGGCCGTGTCCTGCGCATCGTTATAACGGATGGGCGTGTTTTGGTTGGCTTCTTCAATTGCACAGATCGTGATGCAAACATTGTGCTGTCCATGTGCGCCGAGTACTTGGTGGAGGGGCAAGAGCCTCGGCTGCTGGGCAACGTGATGGTGGCCAAGAAGCATATCGTCTCGCTGAACATCGACGAGCCGCGGACATCGACAATTCTTTAAGCCATTCATACAAATTCTGTAAGCATGCAATATTACCAAATGCAATACATGCAATACTCCTACAGAGAGCCCAAAAAGTTATCCTACAGTGTTGTCGCTCCGCTGAACGCACTTCAAAAGTCGTAGATAGGTCATCAAAAACAAAGGCAAAACCAATTGTTGGATATACACTTCTTTAAAAATTTAAATTTTCTATATATAAACAGTCGAAGGGGCAATGTTTTTAATAAAAGATATACACAAAAAATTAATTATTTATGCAAAATATTTAATATGTGTAATGTAAATATTTACATATATATTTCATGGAATATAATAATATTTATGTATATATATATAAATATAATAGTACATATCTACATATTTAATTGAACTACTGTATTGTCCTCTGTTTTGTTTGCTTGCCCCGTTGAATTGCAAAACATTGCGTTGCCAACTACTATTTTCTCAACCGAATGAGCTCAATAAACCACTTAATATTTGTATATAATAAATAAAATAAAATAAGAATAATAAATATAGCCAATAATTTGATAAATTGGTATCAAAATATGTATTTTAATGTACATGCATATACAGAGATTCAAACTGTTTACATATACATATTTAGTTGAAAATCAGCTGCGGTTGTAGTATTTTTATGCGCTTTGTCATTTTTTAGTACATTTCGTGCGCTCCGCCTTTAACAAAGCAACAACTAAATTGTTGGAAAAAGCATTAATAATGTCAACACAGCAGTAGAGCAATTAATTGCTAAAAATCAACACTCAATTGAACACCAATCAGCGATGGATTTCACGACCTTCGTTAAGCCTTCAAATGGTGGTGCCACCGAAAGCGACGACACAAGCAAATTGCAATTTTGGAAGCATGTGAAATACATTGAGAATCATGGGAAGCAGGAGGACGACTATGAGTACTGCATGACCGAGTTCCTGCGCATGTCGGGCATCTTTTGGGGCGTCACAGCGTTGGACATAATGGGCCAGCTGGATCGACTCGATCGTAAGTCCATTATTGAGTTCGTCAAGCGCTGCCAGTGCCCGGTCAGCGGCGGCTTTGCGCCCTGCGAGGGTCACGATCCGCACATGCTATACACGCTGTCCGCCATCCAGGTGCTGGCTACCTACGATGCGCTGGACGTCATCGATTGTGATGCCGTGGTGCGTTTCGTGGTCGGTCTGCAGCAGCCCGACGGCAGCTTCTTTGGCGATAAGTGGGGCGAGGTGGACAACAGGTTTAGCTTCTGTGCGGTGGCCACGTTGACGCTGCTCAAGCGCATGGAACAGACCATCGATGTGGAGAAGGCGGTTAAGTTTGTTATGTCGTGCTGCAACCAAACAGATGGAGGCTTCGGCTCCAAGCCAGGCGCTGAGTCACATGCAGGTGAGTCACAGCATGTTTTTCAATGAACAGTCATTAGCCGTAATTCCTTGCAGGCCTCATCTATTGCTGTGTGGGCTTTCTCTCCCTCACCCATCGGCTGCATCTGCTGGACGTCGACAAGCTGGGCTGGTGGCTCTGCGAGCGGCAGCTGCCCTCGGGTGGACTTAATGGTCGCCCCGAAAAGCTGCCCGATGTCTGCTACTCCTGGTGGGTGCTCTCATCGCTGACGATTATGGGTCGCTTGCATTGGATTAGCTCCGAGAAACTGCAGCAGTTTATACTCTCGTGCCAGGACACGGAGACAGGCGGCTTCTCGGATCGCACGGGCAACATGCCCGACATATTCCACACGCTCTTTGGCATTGGTGGCCTCTCCCTGCTGGGCCACCCCGGCCTGAAGGCCATCAATCCGACGCTCTGCATGCCCCAATACATCATCGACAGGCTGGGCATTCAGCCGCAAGTGCTGAATCAGGCGTGAAATGCAGCAAACCTGATGATATTAAGACAAAAGCTATAGCCAATGTTAAATGATTAATTTATAGAACAGATACCTTAAAGAGCCCAAAAACAAATCGTACGATTCTAGTAAACAATGTCAAAAGTTCATTTCTATATTAGCTACACTTTACTTCTTTCAACAATTAGCGCTTGTTATGCATTTATATCTCAATTTATATATATTATGTTCTATTGTTTTTTGATAAGCAAGCCGTGTAAACATCTTTTTATATTTGTAATATAATAGAGTAAAAAGTTAATAAAAGACACTATTTTTATGATAGCATGCAATTAGAGATCGAGAAGAATTTAAATACTTACGGTTTCTAAAAAAGTTTTTAAAATTTACAGATGTAAAAAACCTGCCTAAAATTTATTTTTTTATTTCTTTTGCAGCAAGAGAACCTCCAAATGTATTTATGAAAATAACTTAAAATTTTGTAACTAAGAAAAATTTCTTGAAATTAATTTATCAATTTAACAAATTTTAATTTTATATTTATTTCAGCTAGGGAAAAGTCTTAAAATTCAGATTTAAAGCAAAAATGCTTTGATTATTTTAGTTATCAATTTTAAAAATTGATATTTTATTGCATTTATTCATTTACCAATTTAATATATTTTTATTTTGTCGCAAAATGTGAAATCCTAAAATTTGTAAGTAGAGATCGAAAAGATTATATAAATCCGTATACAGTTAAAATAATTCAAACCAAATGAAATTTTTATTTCAATGCAAAAATAATATTATTTTAAAAAAAATTAAATAATTTAGATTTATATTTAAAACAAAAAGCGTAAAATTTTGCGACTTGATTAATTTTTGTTTTATCGTAGCAAGCCAGATCCTAAATTTGAAGAATAAGTAAACAATTCTTTGTTTAAAAAAAAAAACTACTTCAATTTCATTTTCCAATTTAACAAACTTTTTATTTTATTGCAAAAATAAACTAATTATTATTTTTTATAACTTGCATAGCTTCCAATTCATTTAAATGTTAAAACAATTCTATAAATTAGATATGCATGCAGAGATATATATAGTATTTACATATAAAGGTATGTATTTGAGTCTAAAACCTAGCAGGGTGCTACGAGCTTATCGCAGTTTACGTTTGGTTACACACAAAATAAACAAAAATTTGGAATTACAAGAAAAGGCAAGAGAAAACTACAAAGAAACAAAGTCAAGTGCGGCCCCTACAC